ACCGTATTACGGTCATATTTTGGCGTGTCGTAAACGGAAAATCACGGCACAAAAAACAGTCAAAAAATTGAGTATCCGACCGTTTACGGCTGTTTACACTACGTTAAAATACGGCCATAATACGGTGCATAGCAAACAACGAAAAATTAACTGAAACGACCGTTTTCGAACGTATTTCTTTGATCTGGGTAGTGTTGTTTTTTTGATTGATTTAAGCACGATCGTATAATGATTGATCGTCGTCATACATACATAAATAAATAGGTACGTGTTTATTTAAATCATCCGTCTATGATTCTTTGTTCTAGTTCTTCTCACATTTGTCATGTCTTCAATTATTGATTCTAATATGAATACAACCTCATCAACAGATGGCAAATATCATAAATATCATATTGTCTTGATATATCTTGTTCACGAGAACGGGTATTGCGGAGGTGATTATCATGAACCATCCTCGGCCTTGATGGGTACTATAGGTGGTGAATTACGGGAGAATATGCTTGATGAAGCCTATGAATCATTGGAGGAATGTATGGAAGATAAAGATTATATTCCATTTGATATTCAAAATAGCTAGAAATCAGTCGTGTTTGATCTTGTTGAAAGTCACAAACAAAAGAAAATGGTTACAGCACTCAACCTTCAAGATAAAGAAACAAGTTGTAAAGAGATTAACAACGCTGTTTGAGAGTAAAACATTTTCATTTCTTTTCATACAATAATCATTAATTAATAATGCGACAATTAAATTTAGAATTATTTCAAGGTTTCAGGAAAAATCTATGAAGTTTTCAACTTTCGATAAAAATACATATAAATCCTGAGATAACTAGTGAGACGAATGGGTGAAAAAATTTTTACGATTAAATATTGACATCTACTCAACAACACAGAAAGATAAACATAGGTAACTGTTGGTCGTGAAAAAATTTGTAAAAGATCTTTTCAACAATCATGTTTAATAACCTTCAGATAAACTTGTTTCTCAATCCGAATAATCATACTTTTCATTCTTTAAAGAATGATGTAAATAGTAAAAGAGTTCAAAGCTAGATTGAATTTTATAAAAAAACAAAAAAAGTTATTTTCATCTGACAAAACATGGAAACATGAATATATTTGAAAACAGTTTAATGTATTTCTACGTGATAATTAAGGATGTATTATTATTAGAGTTTGGGTTACATGAATTTCGGTCCAGGGAATTTTCGGCCCGGTCCGAATTTCCGGTGATTTTTCGGCCCGGGCCTAAATTCATCTCATCAATCCCTAAAAAAGGATGCCATTTTTCTATAACTAGTGGATACATTCCGTAGTACTGAGCAAGACGACGTGGTGCTGAGCAATACGGCGTAGTGCTGAGCGCTAATGACTTAATGTTATCACCGTCCGATATTTGTTCACTGTATATGGAGGACTCGAACTGTTTCTAAACAAAATAGGCGAAAAAGCTTACATATATAGCTAAGAAGAAGGAGAACAAGACATATGTACACGCTATAAATGATGATATTGATGCGACTAATATATCTGACGTATCATACAAAAAGAAGTCTAGGGCAGAAGACAAATCAAGTGTTACCTGCCATTATCAATGATAAATGCATAAAAAAATAACATTAAATATATTTGAATATCTAGAAGAAAAATATCAAGAGAAAAGAATAGATGTTTATTATGGCAAGTGAAAAAGACAATAAATTAGCAAGGAACAAAAAATCGACAATGTAAATAAGTAGTGTTCGATCAAACTTTTAATATACTAAAAATGTTTTATAGTGTTTTACCTTGAAATCTCACGAGAAAAATTTGATAGAAGTCCATTAAACGCTCTATCGACTATGCACACATATTCTTGTTTGTCTATCCCTGATGCTGTCAGTTATCGAGTAATTTGTTCATTAGACCCAGCACTACTTTTATAATCTATAGCTCGAATTAAATCTCTACTATATAATTTATACGCTACTTTTTGTCTACTAGCACACTGGGCTGTCTTTCGAAATGCCGTAGACTTGATAGAATGCTATGAATATAAAGTGATGTAAAATCACCCTGCTCAGCACTATGTCGTACTGCTAAGCATTACGTCGTTCTGCTCAGCACTATGGAAATGTGCTAATTATTCATTGAAGCTAGACTATTTTTTATAAACAGCAGTGAGATGAATTTCGTCCCGGGTCGGATTTCCGGTGATATTTCGGCCTGGGCCAAAACGCCGCCGGAATTTAGGACCGGATCGAAGTTCCAGAGCGAAAATTCCTTGGGCCGAAATTCTGGCCTCCCTTAGAGTTTATTTTGGTAGAAAAGCCAAGTTCTTCATAGTTTACAAAAGTTTTCTAAAAGTTTTATCGGATTAAAATCTATGTTATCATCGAGATATCTGTATTTGCAATAGTGTTCTTTACAACAATTCAGTTTCAAATAGATTCACTATAGTATTAAAAAATATGACCTTATATAGAAATATTGATCATTAGAAAGTAAAGATTGAGTAGACTTTTTTATGATGTTGACAGAAATAAATATCTTTTCTATTGGGTTTGAATAAGTCTATTCCTTATTGAAAATTAGCATTTGATCATTGACTATTTTCTTTATTTCAGTTAAAAATTGACTGAACAATTCAAATAGAGAAAATAAATAAATAATTTTCTATTGAAATCAAATGTTGAGGATATATCAAGTGAATGTAATATACCTCAAGTATTCTCATTTGTATCCTCAAATTCTCTCGATATTATTATCGAGACTTTGATTCTTTTTGTGAATTGTAACATATTTCGACAACTAGAATAACAAATTCTAAATCTCTTACTGATTTTTTTTTTAATTTCTTTTCCAGCCTATTTGACGGAATCCTTATATACATACTAATCGAAACAATTTTATCATTTGATTCTTTTCTGTTTGTTTTTTAGAATGCAGAAAAAAAAATACTTGTGAAAAAAATGGCTAACAAAATATTTGATCTTAAATCGATTTATTGATTAAATGATCTTTTCAATAACTATAAATAAACTTTTCTTTATCGTATTAGCTTGTCGCAGTTATTTAACTTTTTTTGTTCGTCTTTCTTGTCGAATAGGCTTTTTGAACATTCATATTATATTATGTTTTGGTTTAAATAAACATCTCGGATATTATATCGTATAGCTCAAGAAGAATTCATTACAAGCTTGTAAACGATCAAAAATCAATCTATAGTATCTCACATCAGATAACTATTGATCGATAGCAACAAAATAAAATTCTTCTTTTTTTGACTGAAGAATCGAATATTGCAAGTTACGCCCATTCGAATTATCATGAAAATACTCTTTTAAATCAAAAAGCATTTTCTTTTTAACGATTTAGTAAGACTACACGTTTAACGACCTTATTTTAGATTGTTCTTTATTCGAATATCTTTTCTGATGTATTTTAAATTCGTAATATTATTAAAAGTTCTTTGTTTAAATTCTGATAAAACCTTTTGTCAATCATCCTCATAAAATACTATTCTTTTTCCATGTAAATATAAATAATTCTTCGTGCTCTAAGAATTTTTATAGAAAATAGAACGTATTCTTATCAGTAATATAGAAACAATTGAGATCAACAAGTAAATGGATGATGTAAGTGTTTAGCACCTCAACATAGCTAATTATTGATTTGGGTTATTTTATTTCAATATTTGTGCCAATTCTTTTACTTTTGAAAAACCAAACGTTTAGGGGAAAAGCCAGTCCTGTAAACTAATTGATCGTTGAATGTTTTTTTTGTCAGATAAAAAAAGACCAAAAATGTTTGCTATCTTATTTATTACACTAGATAATCGTATTCAACTTCTGACTAGTTTTAGAAATCTATCTCGACTGTATCAAAGTTTTACATCGTAGATTCAATATTCTATTTATTTCAAAATATTCAAATATATGACGTAATTTATCAACTTGCTGTTTTTCAACACTATCGTTTCTAATCATTATTCGAATTAAATATATAAATATTTTATTGCCGATATCAATATTATAATTTCTAAATCATGACACAAAATAAATTCGAAATAAATTTCAATTAATAAAAAATCGAAGCAGAATTCATCGACGATCATAAAAATAATGACAGTGACATAGTTAGCGTTCGATCACATGTATAAGTCAATGGACAATAATCAAGCTTTCATTGTCGTATTCATTTGCTGCAGCGAGTATTATGCATCTTTCATTCAATGTTTGCAATTCGTATTAGTCCATTTTATATCAATGAAAGGAAAGAATTGCTACATTGTGTTCTTAATGCTCGGCGAAAATATAAAGAATAAGAATTTTTCTTCTGGTTTTGTAAAATGTTTTTTTTTGTCTCAGATATCGTGCCTATATTTTTAAAATAAAATATTGTGTTACACATGTTCTTTTTTTCTAATTGAAAGTTTCGTCTTATATAGATAGATTCTCCTGATTAGTTTTTTTTTTCAATTAAGTTTTTAAGAAACATGTGTCACTAATTAATTTGGGATTTATATTTTTCATTCATCATGATTTGTTTTCTAGATACACCTGTTTTTGATGAGAAATATCTCCAAATAGTTCGTGTTGTTGTCTACCTAATTTTTTCACATTATCAACCAATAACAAATTTTTTTTGTATCTTTTAATTAAATATAACTTGTTTTCCTCTATAAATAGCATTGAAATTGTAGATCATAAATGATAAACTAAAACTAAAGTTTCTTTTTTATCAAGAAATCGAAATCGATATTTTAGTGAAATTTAAAAGATTTTGTCCATAATTTTGTAAGTAGATAATTAAACTAAGAAGATCTATATTCTCGAATCTCACATTTTCAATAAAATAAAATTTTTTTAACAAATTCACATAGACTCCTTAAGACTAAGACTTTCTGTTCTCTAAAATATTTTTTTTATACTTGATTATATAATGTATAGAGTCGAATAAAACATGTAAAAGCTGATCCAAACGTTTTGGATCCTTTCAATGATATCGCTCGTTTACAAATACTATTCAGAATAAAATTTATCTTTTTCCCCTTTTTACTCTATATCCTCTTGTTATATTGCAAGATCTTGTTTCAATATTATTGTTCGATGTTTCTTGAAAACTAGTATATTAACATAAAATTTAACGAATGATTTAAATTTTACTGTCTATAGAATACCTGAGATTCTTCTCATATCTACTGGATCTCTTTTAATTGTAGATTTCATAAAACGTACGAGAGCAAGTCTTGTTAAGATAAGTGCATAATCATTGCTCTAGAAAACTTTTAGGATATACGAAAAGAGCTCCTTTATGAAATAAATCGACATATCTTTCTTACTAGTAACGATAGAATTATAAAAATTTATAGTAATATTCATGTAGTTGCAAAGAATCAAAGATTTAATTTGAAGAATTTTTCTCTTGCTAATAAACAAAAAACATTTTTTTTTTTGGATTTATATCATTATATTTTATTTGGAATGGAAAAATATACATTTGATAAAAAAAAACAATTTTAATTTATACAAATGTGGAATTGTAACGCGAACGATGAGTAGAAGATAATAATTGTTCTTCTTCTTGTAAAATTCG